AATAACAACAGTTGATTGGGAAGTTTTCATGCTAGTAAACTGTTTAATACATGTAACCAAAGCCGCCAAAGATTGAGAAAAGATGTACACGTTCGTAAGTACTTGCGTAACTTCGTGAATCTGGCCCCAGATGTTAGACCTGATGTCTTGGCTGTGAGGGCCGGATGTTGTGTTTATAGCGTCAGCTGATCCGTGCTCTTTCTTAGGTTTACGTTTTCTATGTCTGACTGTCCCGGAATTTGAGTTTTATCAGGTCGATTTTTTTTTATAAAAAAAGTAAATGCCACCTCATTTTTGGGTTGATTGAAGATATTTACCCATTGATTTTTATATAGTGATAGATCTCCCTCATGTTGAGAGTGATAATGATTTGTATGTATATTTGTGTGTAGTTTCTGCCCGAAACGCTGCGCGTACTAGTGGCTTTACAAGAATGTAATTACTATGCTATGTATTCTCTCTAACCCAATGTACCTTCTTGTATATATATAAATAAATAAATAATTAAATTTGGTTTAGTGATGCAGTCAGTACTGCTGTGTATGAAAGTTTTAGAAGACGGGATTATATTTGAAAGTTAGCTATGATTTTATTATGAAAACAAGGTCTGGCGTTGACGAGTGGATGATTCGTATACATTCTGTGAGTGATGTTTTTATTCGTTTTGCCTTCCAGGTCACGAAGATCAAGAGGGGGCATTTAGTACGTTCGGGTTGGGATTGTATCTGTTTTTAATGAACAAGTCCACAAAGGCCGTGACGAGGATTCGAACCTGCGTCCGGGAGCATCCCAGACACTTGACTTCCTGGTTTCCTGGTTTAAAATCCTATTTTGTGCCTTGGAGAGGCTGCGGGATCCAGTAAGTTCAGTAGAACTTCGGTTTCAACTCTTTTTACCCTGTCGTAGCTCAGTCGATTAAGGCAGTGTCTGGGATGCTCCCGGACGCAGGTTCGAATCCTCGTCACGGCCCTTGTGGATTTGTTCATTTGATGCATCACGTTAGTGTGATCTCTGTGTGTATCTGTTTTTCTTTGCGTTCGAGTAGCGCAGCGTGCATGGTATTTGTGAATGGTTGGGGAGGGGGGGGAGGATGTGGTTTAAGTGGCTTTTCAGTCTGAACATCTTGACCCGGATTCACGAAGCAGTTACGCAAGTACTTACGAACGTGTACATCTTTCCTCAATCTTTGACGGCTTTGGTAACATTTAAGTACATTGTTGTCTGTGGGTGTAGGATGGTGAAGAACAGACACATTTGGTATGGGTCAAATTTGTAACTGGGTGACTAGTGGTGGTTGGTTGAAGACTGTTGTGTTGCTTCAGTGCACCTGTGTTGCATGTTGGTGTCCGGAAGAGTCCTTTAGTACACCAAACCACACACTAGAAACTGAAGAGACGACGACGTTTCGTCGTCATCGTTTCACAGTCGTTTTACATTCGTTTCACAATATCAAGTCGTTTCACAATCGACTTGAGAATGGTCCAGGACGGACTGAAACGTCGTCGTCCCTTCACCTTCTAGTGTGTGGTCTGGTCAACATACTTTAGCCACGTTATTGTGACTCATCGCCTGCATTTCCAAAGGAGAATTTGTCCTACCTGGGTTGAGACATGGATGTTGATACTCGGGCCGTGTGGAGTACTCCACCTAGTTGCCTAGTTGGAACTTCTAGTTGGAGTTGTTTACTTGAGATGAAGCTAGTCGAAGTGTTTACTTCTAGATGCTGGCGACGCTTTGCTTCTACTCTGTTTGCTTTACTCAGAGGGCGCCAGACCATCATTACCCGCATGTGTGCAATGAGACTGGTTTGTGTATTCCTCAGCGGTATCCTCCCAGGGTCTCTCCCATTTACAATGGGAGAGACGCCGTAGGTCTCCTCAGTTCTCCCAGTGGCCTCTTTTTTAGTACTTTCATAGCCGATTCAAGCAGGCCGAGGCAGGCCAGACATAGGCAGGTAGGCCAGGGGGGGGGGACACTTAGGTCAAAGGGGCTGACAGGCCAGATAGGCAAGCAGGCCAAATGTGTAGGCCTTGGAAGTAAGCCATTGGGGCAGACCAAGGGAGGTAGTCTGAAGAGGCAGGCTAGGGAGGTAGGTAAAGGGGAAGAGGCAGGGCCTGGGAGGTCAGTCAGGGGGGAGGCAGGCCAGCACACGCTGTCAGAAGGCTCAGCATCTTCCTCTTCCTGTCTTTTGTTGGCGCCTTTTGGTCCATTCATCTGATCTCGTCTCCGTTTCCGTCTCCCATGTTCCACCTCGTCTCTTTCTCCCGTCCCCTCTGTCTCCCGTCTCGCGCCCCGTATAGACAGAACCGTGTCATTTAGATGGTGGCGACAAAGGAGTGGCCATGAGTGTGTGTGTGGGTGTATAGAAGCACTCGTATATAGTGGTAGTGATTCTTGCAACACCTCAAACACACCTTTGACTTGCAACATCACAACAAGGACATGTTTACACAAGCCTGGAGACAGGCATGGACTACCCGATTCTATACAGGTACCTGGTTGATACCTGGTTGATGGGGTTCTGGGAGTTCTTCTACTCCCCAAGCCCGGCCCGAGGCCAGGCTTGACTTGTGAGAGTTTGGTCCACCAGGCTGTTCCTTGGAGCGGCCCGCTGGGCCACATACCCACCACAGCCCGGTTGGTCCGGCACTCCTTGGAGCTACAAGACAACCCGTTCTCCTGATTTGCCACAACGTTCAAAATAAGAGGTATTAAAAAGGCACGAACCCAAGCCACCCCACCGAACCAAACTATGCATAGAAAACGTGGATTTTTGTAAATCGCTACTTTTCAGGGTACCATTTATTTTGTGCGGTGGTGATCTTAGCATTCAGAATAGAAGTTTATCCTACTGAACTACCTAAAGGCTTGCTCGGTTCATCGAGTTCTTCCTTGGGCCATCTACTGACCTTCTCCAGGATGCAAACCCACAACACTTGCCTAGCTGTACTTACCGCTAGGTGAACAGAGGCATAAGGTAACTAGAGACTTTTCTCTCCTACCGTGAGAAATGAACCCAAGAATCCTAAAGCTGGGATTTGAATAGACTTCCAATGCGCCACAGGACCCTAAGGTATATATGCCAGTTTAACGGCGATACGCATAAAGAGAGAGAGAGAGAGAGAGAGAGAGAGAGAGAGAGAGAGAGAGAGACAGAGAGAGAGAGAGAGAGACAGAGAGAGAGAGAGAGAGACAGAGAGAGAGAGAGAGTGAGAGAGAGAGAGAGAGAGAGAGAGAGAGAGAGAGAGAGAGAGAGAGAGAGAGAGAGAGAGAGAGAGAGAGAGAGAGAGAGAGACAGAGAGAGACAGAGAGAGAGAGAGAGACAGAGAGACAGAGAGACAGAGAGACAGAGAGAGAGAGAGAGAGAGAGAGAGAGAGAGAGAGAGAGAGAGAGAGAGAGAGAGAGAGGAAGGGAGGCTGGAGAGACGCTACCATCCTGGCAGGCTCACCACATAAACCCTAAAGTGGAATCCTCAATTAGAAAAAAGTAAGAAAAGAAAATATAAAAAGTTGAGAGCTATGCAACAAGGCTTATTTTAAAATTATGGGCTGAGGAGATTGTAACAGGGTAAAACTGATACAGGTTAAGACATGATTACGACACACAAGATTGTAAGAACTTGCACGCACACACACACACACACACACACACACACACACACACACACACTCAGGGACGCCCACCGACGGGTCGCTGGTCCAGGACTGGGAATGGGAATGCTCCAGAGAAAACACTGGATATCTTACGATTCCTGAAAACCATCTGAAGGAACATTTCCAATTGGAGAGTGTGGCGTTGGTGGGCAGGCGGCCCCCGGGGCGGCCCCCAGGGCGGCCCTCGGGGCGGTCCTCGGGGCGGCCCTCGGGGCGGTCCTCGGGGCGGCCCTCGGGGCGGCCCTCGGGGCGGCCCTCGGGGCGGCCCTCGGGGCGGCCCCCAGGACGGCCCTCGGAGCGGCCCTCGGGGCGGCCCCCAGGACGGTCCTCGGGGCGGTCCTCGGGGTGGTCCTCGGGGCGGCCCTCGGGGCGGTCCTCGGGGCGGGTCGTGCTCAATATTTACTGTATATTGTCTCCCTCAAACTTGCTGCTTAATGAGTTCTCGTCCATCCCCGGGCTCACTTCTCACCCGTCTCACTCTCGTCGACAGACATGTTATCCCGTGGCTCTCTGTGAAGGAGTCTAACTCATTCTGACTCAGTCTGAATTAATGTAACTCGGTCAGACTCAATATGACTTGGTCTAATGTGACTCACTCTGACTCAATCAAAGTCAGTGGGTCAATGTACGCTTGCTTATATAATAATATATAGGTGGAGGGGGTTGTGGGTTGTATAGCGGGAGACCCCAAAGACAGTATGGGCTGAGAGGAAGGCAGCTGACAGATGCAGTGACAGAGAAGTCACTGAGAACCAACACAACAGCAAACATGTAACCTGGGGAACACATTAGCAAAATAATACCGGCAGCATATATCAACATAACAAATATCAGGATACCCTCCATCAACCTAGATAACAAGGCCTTCAGAACGCTTTTATACAACCTACATCAGACCAAGTTTTGAGTGTGCAGCACCGGCATAGAGTCCGCACCTGACGATGCGTAACATTAAAATGGAGACAGCACAAGATTTGTTGCCAAACTCTAGCGAGGAATTTATTGACGTTCTGAAAACGAGAGAACCCCGTGGGATCACAGGTTCCCTTGACGTTGAAAGTCTATTCACTAACGTTCCATTGGAAAGGATCATAAACACGATATTGAACCCTGTGTATCAACAAGAGCACCTCCCTCCTCCATTCAAGGGACCTCGAACTATCTTACGGGATGATCAGACCACACACTAGAAGGTGAAGGGACGACGACGTTTCGGTCCGTCCTGGACCATTCTCAAGTCGATTGTGAATGGTCATCGTCGTCGTCCCTTCACCTGCTAGTGTGTGGTCTGGTCAACTTACTTTAGCCACGGTATTGTGACTCATCGCCTGCATGTCTTACGGGATATGCTGAAGGTCTGCACCACTGAAGCTCCTTTCCTGTGCCCAGAGGGTCAACTCTACCTGCAGGTTGATGGTGTGGCAATGGGGTCCCCATTTGAGGTCTTGTTCCCCCAGGCATTCATGTCCCATGTGGAGTCGTCTGTCATGGAGAGGGAAGGGCTGAACCCTATTGTCTACTCCAGATATGTTGACATATTCGTATGTGTTGACAATGATAATACATTGAAGAGGCTTCATGACAAGCTACAAGAATTCTCAGGCTTAAAGTTCACTGTTGAGAAAAGTGAAGGAGCCAGGATTCCATTTCTCGATGTTCTCGACGACGGCAACTCGGGTAGATTCATCACAGATGTGTATCGTAAACCAACTGATGCAGGAAAATGTATGAACGGTAAGAGTGAAAGCACTGACGGGTCATCAACGCGTATGTAGGTCGTGGAATACGTACATGCTCCTCTAGGCAGCTCTTGCGCCACGAACTTGAACGAATCCGCCAAATTGTCGTGAACAACGATTACAACAATACACAATTCGATGAAATCGTAAGAAGCTAAGACGCCATTTGACTGAGGATAATCAGGGCCCAGGGGTGGAAAATCGGCCCCCCAGGAGAAGACACTATAGTGTATTATAAAAATACATTCACTCAGGCATACAAGAAGGACGAGAAGATTATACGAGATATAATTGACAGGAATTGTAAACCTTGCAGTGAAAACCCGAGGATTCGTCCTGTCATTTATTATAACAACGCTCGTACATTTTGTCTCATTATGATCAATATCATCTCTGCCTCCTCTGACACAGTGAGGTGTACTAATGTAGTGTATCAATACGAATGCAGCACAGGAGACTGTGCGCTCCGAAATATACGCTACACGGAACATGCGACGAATACACTGAGAAGAGGTCTTACACATCATTTGCAAAACGGATGTATTAACCAACATCATTCTCAACACCATCCTGAATCGCCAAGACATATTGAAAGATACGACAATAATCACACGTGCTGAGGATCGTAGGAGGCTTTGCAGGTTTGAGGCTGTGTTCATTCGGGGGCTGACACCAGTAATCAACATCCAGATGAATTCGACCTCGAGCATACAGCAAGTCCAATGGTCCTCCATTGAACCAGAGGGAAGATGTAAAACCTGGCGGACAGCTAGAAGCAGACCAACATCATTCCTTCTGAAGATGTATTAATATAAGTAAGTACTTAAGGAAATTCCTGTTTCAATTCTTCCTCCATGGTCTGACACTGTCTTTATATATATATATATATATATATATATATATATATATATATATATATATATATATATATATATATATATATATATATATATATATATAAACACGTGCCTTCCTAATATTGTGTCTCTTGTCTCCTCACCACTCTGACGTCGTCAGTTATTACAAATATCAGACAGAATAAATACAATGCAACAAGTCAATACTTTTAATGGAGTGACTTTGTGGGGATCGAGTCCCGGTTAATAATTAAATTGAATGGAGAATGCTGAGGGACTGGGCTTGGGGAAGGCTACATGGAGGGGGGGGAGGAGGACCCCCTCCATCACCGGGGAGGGGGAGGTGATGGGGCTGTGAGGTGGGGAGGGGGTAGGCTGGGGGGGTGAGGGGGGAGACTGGGAAGCCTATCAAGGCCGCAGACCAACATCATTTGTAAATATTTTTCTTCTGTTTTGTAAATGTTTTCAAATACACAAAATAAATCACTGACCTTACAAGTTCGTCGGTGCAGCGACGGCTTCACTTCTCTCATGATCGACGTTCAATCCCCGATGGTGCAAATAGTTGGACACTGTTCCTACACTCCGTCCTCATATCTCACCAAGTTTCCCCTCATACTTCAGCTCCTTGTACTCATATGTGCTTATCCACCCACCCTCAGACCACCTGGGTAGTTATCTAGCTACTTGTGATGGTCTGAAAGCTGATTGACGAAGATTAAGCCACCCAAGAGGTGGCACGGGCATGAATAGCCCGTTAAGGTCAGAAAACATATTTCGGTTTCAATAATAATCTCCATGTAAACTGGTTTAGGTATACAAATGGATGAAGGGGTAAAAGAAAAGGGGTATTAAATGCATCAACATATAATACAACACGAAACAATGGGTATAAATTAGAAAGTTTAGATTTAGGAAAGACCTGGGTAAATACTGGTTTGGTAACAGGGTTGTCGATTTGCGGAGTCAATTACCGTGTAACATAATGGACGTAGGATCCTTTGATTGTTTCAAGCGCAGGTTAGACATATAAATAAATGAGTTTGGGAGGATAAAACTTGGAGCTGCCACGTATGGGCCAAAAGGCCTTTTGCAGTTACCTTGATTCTTATGAACATTCACACGTATACATAACATACACACACACACGACACACACACGACACACACACACACACACACACACACACACACACACACACACACACACACACACACACACACACACACACACACACTTTCATAAGCGTATATCTGGAGTATTCTTCTCCCTTGTCTATCCTGCAAAAAGACCAGAGGGCGCTGGGGAGAATACCAGATGAGGCGCATTATTCCATCAGCACAGTGAGCGCTCTCCACCATCCTGGGAAATGGAATACGGGAGATTCAGCCTCCAAGGGAGGTAGGAAGGTAGGCAGGCAACTATATGGGGTAGATAGGTAGGCATATGGGGTAGATAGGTAGGCATATGGGGTAGATAGGTAGGCATATGGGGTAGACAGGCAGCTATATGGGGTAGATAGGTAGGCATATATGTAGGCACCTAGGTAGGTAAGAGTAGGCAGATATGTAGATAGGAGAATAAGTAGGTAGGCAGGCAATTTCTAACTTACGCCTAGATTTACCTAAATAATAATTCGGCAAGGTTAGCTTGTCAGTTTGTACTGAAATAACCAAAATATCTCATATATAATAATGAAAAAAGTGTCATTTCATAAGATAAATTTTTTGAAAATAATTGTTAATGAAAATTCGGCTTATTTGGCAACTCTGGCTGTTAGGTACGACATAGATGTACGAGGCGCTGCAAGCATCTACCAGGGAAAGCCAGGGCTTGTGTGTGAGAGAGAGAGAGAGAGAGAGAGAGAGAGAGAGAGAGAGAGAGAGAGAGAGAGAGAGAGAGAGAGAGAGAGAGAGAGAGAGAGACAGACTGAGATTGACAGCCACTCCGCCCACCACCCCGCCACGCCCGTCACCCAAACCAGGCTAAGGTAAATGACTCAATTACCCCCAACACATCCTGGAAATTGTTGTCGGGTGTTGGGGTGGGGACGGGAAGGGTGCAGAACAACCCGTCCTCCTGTGTAGATAGTTCTTTTTGTAACTATGTTCACCCATATGCAGGCGATGAGTCACAATAACTTGGCTAAAGTATGATGACCAGACCACACACTAGAAGGTGAAGGGACGACGACGTTTCGGTCCGTCCTGGACCATTCTCAAAGTCGATTGTGAATGGTCCAGGACGGACCGAAACGTCGTCGTCCCTTCACATTTTAGTGTGTGGTCTGGTCAACATTATGTTCACCCATAGTACAAACATGGACGTATTAAGCAATTAAATAGTAAAATTGTGTACTATTCAGTTTATAGAGTCCTGAAAAAATGTACCTGAAAAAACAAACTTAACTATTGAACAAATCCACAAGGGCCGTGACGAGGGTTTGACGAGGGATGCTCTCGGACGCAGGTTCGAATCCTCGTCACGGCCCTTGTGGATTTGTTCATTTGATGTATCACGCTATTGTGATTTCTGTGTGTAAACTTAACTATTCCTAAGCCTAGTATAGCACATATATGTACTATATTAGACCTCAGATAACACGTCCTAGGAAGGTCAGGTTAGTTTAGGTAGTCTTTGCAACATAAGTAGAAAATCTTTTTTCCTATTTGTCCAAATTCAATAGTACCGATTTCTACTTTCTAATTGTGTTGTACGTCGGTATATGTACTATGTACATATACCGACGTACATGAACTATGTACTACATAGTACATATACGTAGGTTATATGTACTATGGTCCTCATCTTTCATATAAGTTCTATCACAACAAGAGGATGGGCTGCTCACACACACACAAGCAATCACAAGACTAATTATCCTCAGCCAGTTTAGGTGTCGTTATAATCAGTAGTGTGCCTGTGTTTGACAATTCTCCAGGAACTAGGCTATGACCATTTTTTATAGAAAACAACACACAAATACAATAACAAAACACCTGAGCACCTGACCTATACAAAACAAATCAGCACTATACCAAAGCAAAACAAGAACCACACACATCTATATCACATGAACATAGTAATAAAAACAGCACCAGAAAAGTCAATGAGAACACCTAAAGCAGGTGCACGAGACCAGGTGCTCAGGTGAGCACCTGGTCCGTAGCACAAAAGACTGCAGTCTCAGAAGAAGCCTCAGGGCTGTCAGAGTAGCTCCTTTAAGCTACCAGAGTAGCTCCTTTAAGCTGTCAGAGTAGCTCCTTTAAGCTGTCAGAGTAGCTCCTTTATGCTGTCAGAGTAGCTCCTTTATGCTGTCAGAGTAGCTCCTTTATGCTGTCAGAGTAGCTCCTTTATGCTGTCAGAGTAGCTCCTTTAAGCTACCAGAGTAGCTCCTTTATGCTGTCAGAGTAGCTCCTTTAAGCTACCAGAGTAGCTCCTTTAAGCTACCAGAGTAGCTCCTTTAAGCTACCAGAATAGCTCCTTTAAGCTACCAGAGTAGCTCCTCTAAGCTACCAGAGTAACTCCTCTAAGCTACCATGATGATAGTCTAGCCTGGTGACTACTAGTAGCAAGTCTCCAGGAGGGCGGCAGCTGAGGCCGTGATGACAGCGGCTCGCTACCCACAACTGCACATTATCCGAGGCAACTTTTGGCCACTCCGCTTCTGAGAATTTTTGTGATGGTAAATACGGGGGAATTTGCTGAGCGTTTGTCTGGCGTTAAGATGAAAAAGTTTGATGGAAGACATATTGGCTGATGTATTCGTTAGGCAGGTATCCTCGTATATAATACCAGATGGGTTACCGGGCGGTGAGAGAGAGAGAGAGAGAGAGAGAGAGAGAGAGGGGGGAATTGTGAGAGAGGGAGAGAGTGAGGGTTGGAAGTATTGGTGAGTTGGTTGGAAGTATGACACAAAGGGATATAAAGAGAAACCGTGGAGGGAATTATGATAGAGAATGGAATAACGTAAAAAGGAGAGAGAAGAATAACGAGAAAGAGAAACAGATAGGAGGGAAAGTATGAGAGGGAGAGGGGGAAGAATGAGAGAGAGAGAGAGAGAGAGAGAGAGAGAGAGAGAGAGAGAGAGAGAGGGGAGGGTTCTTAGCAAAAAGAGATAGGGGATAGGCTGACAGGAAAGGTTAAAAAAAGTGCGCAGTTATCCACTAATACACACAC